GCATCTGACGTCTCTGCTGAGGGGCGGGGCAGGAATGGTTGGATTTCAAACAAACATAAAGAAGCAGTAGGGAGGCTTTCCCTGTGGTGTGTGGTAACTGTGACCTGATGTGAGTCATCAGGGCAGAGATAACCCCAGAGAGAGGGAATGGGGAGTGCATGGACACCTCTGTGTGAGTGGTGACTGTGYTGGGGATGAAGAGCAAAACATTGTGGCCGAGACTTTGGACTCTGCCCTGGAGCAGTGAGGTCTGTGTTTCTGTGCTGCACTGCTGCTGCTGGTGGCAGGAGCAGCAGGAATGTCCTAAAATGTTTGAGTCATTGTGGGTCCCAGCTCTGACTGACCCCAGGATGGGCTATGGGCAGTGCAGGGGCTGGGGGCAGTGGGTGTTGCTGCCTGCTGATTGTGGTGATCTGCGTGGCCTGGGGCTTCTGCACTTACCAGCTGATGTTTGGTTTGACCACACCAACCCTGGTGCCTGAAAATGCATCCTGACTATTTTGRTGATTCCCCGTGGCCTTGGGAGAGTCGTGCAGTCGCTGAATTTCAGCGGTTTTAGTGCTGGGAATGCAGAACTGGGTTCTGACCAGCAAACGTTCCTGCAGCTCTGAAAGAAAGCAGAAGTCTGACAACATCAGGAGTTTTCCCAATATCCTGAGCCGTTGRGTCACGTGCCTCTGCAGTAGAGAAGTTTCTTTGATTCAAGATTAGACTTACGTGTCTTGGGGTCACAGCGATCAGCGTTTGTGCCTTAAGTCTTCCTGGTGTTCTGGAGGATTAGCTGGTGTGTTTGAGATGGATTGTGGGGAAATCCTTGCTTGACATCATGGTTCAGGCACTTCAGCCTCATGAGATCTAATAGAGTAGGGAGAAATGGGTGAGGATGTGGGAAAATGAAGAGTTTGGGGAGGGAGATCAGAAAATCAGCAGCTGAGGGAGGATCAGATTCTGTTGAACTGCCCCTGCCCTGGGGGTGGGAGGGGAGTGGGGCTGAAAAGCCTTGGAAGCTGCTATGAGAAGATTACCAGCACTCTTCATTCCCCACAGGAATACTGACAATGAGACCAGCTCCTCTACAACAGCCACTGATCAGAGCAGGCATCCTTTTGAGGTGAGCAAGTCCTTCCTCTCTTCCAACACCTTCTGCTCTGCTGTTGGATTGTTTTTTCAATAGTGCATTGTTTAAATGTTCCCCAGATCATGACAGAATTTGGAAAGGAGGAATTAATATCCTCCACATGCTGCTCCTGAGATCTCTGCATACCATATTTTTGCTGCGTGTGTTACGTAGGACCATCACTCGTGGCTGATTCCCGTTGTGAGGGGGCTCAGCAGGATTTGGAGAGCAGGATTTGGGTGTGTTGCTATGCAGTAGCCTCAGCTCGGAAGCAGCAGTGACACACCAAAGAGAAATCAGGGAACTGTGATAATTTCTGCCTTCATGTGCAGTTTCAGGGTTCCTCACCAAGCTGCTGCTGAGGGTGCTGGTCCCAGTGTCACCCAGGCACTGTGGRGGTCACTGTGGGCGGCTCATGGGACACCGTGGGAGCCGAAAGCTGCTTCTCCTGTTGTCACAATCTGTTCTCTKCATTCCCTCCCTCCCAGAACGTGGATCAGCACTTGTTCACCTTGCCCCAGGGCTATGGCCAGTTTGCTTTCGGCTTCTTTGACGACAGCTTTGAGTTTCCCTTCGGGTCCAACGTGCAGCAGGAAGACAACCGGGACTCGGAGAACCGGCGGGAGCGCGAGCACCAGTCCCGGCACCGCTACGGAGCCAGGCAGCCCCGCGCCCGCCTGGCCACACGCCGAGCCTCGGGCAGGCACGAGGGTGTCCCCACACTGGAAGGGTGAGAATGGCTCTGGGGCCTGAGGAGGGAACCCTGTTGTTCCTCATTTTTCTCCTGGTTTTGGGGAGTGGCACCTCAAAACTCTCCAGCGCTGCTGTGGGTGCCATCTATGTCCCCATATGAGCCTTTTTCGGGTCTTATGGGGCTGTTTCAGCTGAGTAGTGATGTGGACCATGGCTCAAAGTTTGTCCTGTAATGGGAAAACATTCCCTGGTCATTGCCAGTTTTTGCCAAAAATTTTTGCCAGTTTTTTGTACTTGTTCTGAGGGGAAACAGAAGAAAACACCAGACAGTGTTTGTGTAAGAGCATCCTGGGAGCCCCTTGCCATCATGTCAGGAATTGTCCCCTTACAAATGAAATACTGAAACTATATCAGTGGTTGATCACTCCATAAACTGTAATTGCTGTGTAGGGTACTTTTAATTTCCCCCAGTACTGTGACAGTATTCAGCTTATTCAGCCTCTCCCTTCGTGTTGGGGTGCTGGGCTGGATGCCAGCAGACTTTAATTCTTACACAATCCYGATTTTCTTGTCTTTCAGAATTATCCAGCAGCTGGTCAATGGAATTATTGCACCAACCACAATTCCAAACTTAGGCCTGGGCCCTTGGTGAGTTGGAGGATGTGCTGCTCTCTCTCTGACAGTGTCTCATTGATGCTCCAGGATGAACTCACTTGCTGTCCTTGTTCTTCAGGGGAGTCCTGCACTCAAATCCGATGGACTATGCTTGGGGTGCCAACGGCCTGGATGCGATTATCACACAGGTAAAACTGRGATTTTCCACAGTCTCCATCCTCCTGTGCAGTGCTGCAGGAGGAGTAACACCTGTGGTGGTGTGGGGAACAAAGGGCTGCAGGTGCAGGAATGGGAACTGAGGTCCGCAATGCAGGGTCCAAATGTCCTGGCTCAGGAAACGAGTGGATTCTGTGTGCTGCTGAGCTCACCTCTCTCTTCTGCCTGCCTGGCCGGTTGTTTTTCCAGTTACTGAATCAGTTTGAAAACACTGGACCGCCGCCAGCGGACAAAGAGAAGATCCAAGCCCTCCCCACCATACAGATCACACAGGAGCACGTAGGTACGTGTCTGCTCCAGGGAGCTGTGCACAGAGTGCTCCCTGGAAGCTCTGTGTAATGTTTCCTTGGGGTTTGAATTCTGTCTGCTTGTACCTTTGAGGCATAAAACATTTCAAAGTGGGGAGAGAGCTGAAGGGGCTCTGTTACACTGACACGCACAAAAAAAAGAGCATTGTTGTTGGATTTGCCCCGAGGAGGTTGTGAGAAGTTCAGTGTGGATAGAGATAAAAAAGCAGAAGGGAAGGAAAGGATGAGGCAAACCCAGGGCAGGGGGAAGTGGGGTGATACTGTGGGGACTGCAGAGCGCCAAGCTTTCCTGCTGACAGGGATGGAGCAGCAGTGGAGAAGGGGAGGGCGATGATGGATCCTGAATCGGGAGCTTTGCATGTTGCTCAGCTGGGCTTGGCTTTCCCTGTGTGATGCAGATTCCGGGTTGGAGTGCCCTGTGTGTAAGGAAGACTACACAGTCGGGGAGAACGTGCGGCAGTTACCGTGCAATCACCTGTTCCACGACGGCTGCATCGTCCCGTGGCTGGAGCAGGTGAGTGTGCAGCACTGGGGGCTTTGTCTGCTCCTGCTGCCCTCTGTAAATATTTTCCTGCCTCCATGATGAGGCCTGAGCACAAGCAGCCTTTGGTCGGAGGATGGAGTGTGATCCCAGCCCATTCCTCGAGTGCTGCTCCCCTATTGTGTTTCTAATCCCGTTTCCCRTATTTCTTGTTTTGTTTTCTGTCTGCTCCCCAAAGCATGACACGTGTCCCGTCTGCCGGAAAAGTTTAAGTGGACAAAACACTGCCACAAACCCCCCAGGACTCACAGGGATGAACTTCTCGTCATCCTCCTCCTCCTCCTCTTCCTCCAGCTCACCAAGTAATGAAAACTCATCGAACAACTCATGAATCTTAACGCACCCTCTGTCCCCGGGGCCCTTCCAATGTTCCCTCTCCCTCCCTGGCCACCACGTGCAGCCAAAGGGGCTTCCAGAGCAGAGCAAGGGGAGGGGACGAGGCAGGAGCAGAGCCCCCAGAATTTCCTTTTGATTTCTGAAGACACGGAGACTCTGGGTCCTTCAGAGATGAGAAGCCTCAAGTTCTGTGATGAAAAAGGGGGGAAAAGAGCTCTGTCTGTCAATAAAAACATCCTCTTTGCGTGGACTTTACCCATTGCAGTGCGAGGCTGCTGCGCTCCCCGGCTGGGAACCCCGAGGTGCTGAGCGAGTGGTTGAATCCCAAATGGAAAGGTTGTTTGTATGGGTTTGAATTTGAGGTCCCTTTCTTTTATTTCTTTTGCTCCTCCTCCCCTTGGATACTTATCTTTTCTGCTTTGGAGATTGAAGTCTAAAACGGAAGCATAAGGATACTGCCTCCCCTCCCCCAGGATCGCCGTCTGGGGAGGACCAATAGCTGTCACTGAAACAGGAACTCTCAAGTAGACCCCGGGATCCTTCCCTGTCCCATCTCAAGTCCCTTTTATTTCTCTTTATAGCCTCACCCGCTGATACTCAACACTGAAAGGGGTTTTTATAATCTTAAATTATTACTGTTGTCAATAAATGGACATTTCAGCTCTGCGAGCCGTTATGCATGATTTGAGGAGAGCTACAGGGTAAGCTCTGAGGCCACCAAGCTGTCCTGCCTTCCCCCGGGCAGGCTGGGCCTCTCTGAGCCCTCCTGCGTGCCGGGAGCTCCGGTGGGAGCCACTGCCAGCCTGTGGATCACTGCACAGGTGGCCAAGGATCGCAGCTGGAAGCATCCTCGCCTGGTCTTTTCTATTTTTTACACCTCCTTCCCCTTCAGTCCTGCCCTCCTCGCAGCCGGGGCAGGTTGTTCTGCTGGGCCAACATGGGACTGGGTGTGTGCAGCAGAACGAGGACCAGCAAAATCTCATTGTGACCGAGTAATTGCCAGGAAAACAACATTTTGGAGAAAAAAAAAATGTATTGCAAAGCTACTTAAAATAGAGCTGATTAAAACAAGGAGAGAGAGACAAATACCCAGGTATGTTTGTGACTCAGTTTCTATGAGGGAGCTGGAGCTCGGAGAATGACAAGAATGTCACCGGAGCGGGCAGTGACTCCCTGCTGTGTCCCTGCTTCCCCGACCTGGAGGCACGAGAGAAGCAGAGCCCTGGTGCTCTCACCATCCATCATCAGGAGACCCTTCCCCTTCCATGGACTTGGGGTGGTCAGGAGGTCTCCTGAAGGGCTGGGGGTCCGTGATGGTGCCACGTGTTGGGACTGTGCTGTGGCAGAGCCAGAGCAGACAAGGGAGAACCTGCCCCCAAAGGAGCTGCCCTGGGAGTGGGTGGAGGGTTCGGCAGTTTGGGGGGTTCCCTGCCTCTCCCTCAGCTTTTGGGGTGCTGGGAGTGGGCTGGGGCTGCTGGGGAAAGTGCTGGCTCCAGCACAGCTTGGGTGTCTTCTAAAGCAGCATCACCCCAGRACCTGGCCCTTCCAAGAGCTTCCTAGGAAGGGATGAGCCTTCTATAGGAGGGGAAGGATGATTTGGCCTTTCTTGAGCCATTTCAGAACACAAGAAGTTGGTTTGTTGGAGAAAGTGTCACCAGCTGTGCCGGGGCCAGGGGCTGGCAGGGAGCAACTTGCCCGGACTGTTTTTCCTCCTTGGCTTGGCCGGGCAGCGCGGCGGCGCCTTTCATCTCACAGGAGGGTTTATCTCAGGACTGGTGTGTCGGGGTTAATGGCTCATCCTCTGCCGGGGGTTGAGCCAGAAGCCTGGGCTGGTGAGGTGGGTGGCAGCAAGAAGGTCCTGGCTGAACCTGYGTGTGTCCGTCGGCTGACCCGACACCGAGGGAAGGCTTTGCTGTTTAGTCACCGGAACRAGAAACGTGGAAAAACCTTCCCTCTTCTGCTGTGTTTCAGCTGTGACAGGGAGTTCCTGGCTCCCCCAGGTGCTCAGGGATGATTTTTCATGCATGAGCAGTGCTCAGATGGGTTTCAAGCGGGCAAAGCAAAGTCCCTGGTGGGTGCATGGCAGGTGCTGCCCACCCGGCAGGGACTCACCACAGCCACCACACAGTTAACACGGTGCCTSTTCCCTCTCAGACTCGTTTGGAGCTGGTTGGGTCAGAAATGGAACGAGTTTGGTGGTTTTTGCTGGGGCCATTGCTCTGTCTGATGTGACAGTGACCGGGCTGCTGGGGCTGGCCACAGCAGGTGTGAGGTGGCACAGGGATGTACCCTGGCCAGGAGGCTGAGGTGCAGGTGCTATTCCTGGCCATGCTGCCCTCCAGGTGAGGGGCTGGTCCTCACCACTGTCCACTGTCCCAGCTCTATTTTTGTTGGGGATGATGGCGTGGAGTTGGGCTGCAGCCTGGCAGGCAGGGACAGCCCAGGAGCAGTGTCTGCCTGAGGATCAGGGCTGGCTCCTGCTCCCTCTGCTCCCTCCTTTGTGCTGCTGAACCASCATTGCTGTTTTTCTGCAGGGTGGGTGGGGGTCGATGAAAAGCTGGATGTGGCAAGGGACCAGCTGGGCTCCTYGCCAATGGCAGCAGGGATGACACTGGTGGCTGCAGCCACAACCACAGGGGAGCCAATCCCTCCCATCCCGAGCCAAGTTCACCATCAAAGCTCCAACACCTGCTCCTGTTCCATGCCATGAACACAGCTTTAATTGCCACGGGTGCTGGGACACAGACAACCTGCTGCTACATCCCAGCCCTGCAGAGATGCCATTAGCAGATCCTGGCCCCTGCTCTGGCCACGCTCCCTGGCTCTGCACCGGGAGAACTGTGGGAGAGCCCCAGCCCTGCGCAGCTGAGTCTGGAGCATCTGCCTTCCACATCCATCCTCTGCCATGCATTAAAAATAAAACAATAAATAGCAAAAAATAGATATGTACATAAATAAAAGAACCCTTTTTTTTTTTTTTGTTTTGTGGTTATTTTTTCCTACAGGACCGTCTGGATCTGCCCGTGGCGTTCAGCTGACGAGGATGGGGAGGAAGTGTGTGGAGAGGTGCTGCCGGCGTGTCYTGCCCCCTCGCTGTGGCCTGCCCTTGCTATTGAGCGAGAGGAACATGGGGCGGCCGCGGTGCCGCCAGTGCAGTGACGCGTAGGTGTTGTAGCCGTTCTCTTCGATGCGCTCCGTGAACTTGCAGTTGGGGCTGAACTCCTTCTGGCAGGAGAGGGAAGGGGGTGAGGGGTAGCTATGCTCAGCTGGGGCCCGTCGGACCCCGAGAGTGGGGCAGGGCAGGACCCCAGCTCCTCCCCGGGGGACAGAGGGGCTTGGTGGGTGCAGTCCCCTGCTGGGGAGCAGGTCAGGGCATGGGAAACCAGCACCCTGCTCCAAGTCTGCCCTGAGCCTCTGACCCTGGTGCGCTCCCTCCCAGGAGGCAGCGTCCGACCTACCGACCCGTAGAGCCTCCCCCGCTTGTTCATGGCCAGGTAGAAGCCGGTGTGCACCGCYCGGATGGCCACGACGCCGACACGCACTGACCGGATCTCGACGATGCCTGCGGGACAGGGAAGCATGGAATGAGCCAGGGAGCGACATGCGACCACCCCGACCTCCCCTGCCCCAATGCTGGGTCTGTGGCCACAGCGCTCCCCCACCGGGACAGAGTCGCTGATCCTCACCCAGACCCAGAGCAGCCAGGGCTGCAGCCCAAGCTGGGAGTGGGAGGGGGAACCTCTGATCCAAGGAGGGTTTGATCTTTACTCCTCTCCTTCCCAAGGTCCAGCCGCTTCCAGGAGCTGGGCTGTGCGGGAGCGATGCCAAGCTCAACCTCCCGTGTGTCCATCCCCAGCGCGCCCGCAGTGCCCCGGGGACCTGACCCGCCTCCCGCAGCCACCAGTCCAGCACACGGAGGGCACTGAGGCTGGCGTGGCTCTTGGAGGGGCAAAGTGTGCGTGGGGGTGGCAGTGACGGCACACGCGGTGGACAGAGGCACGGAGGGGCAGGATGGTGCCACCCACGGATGCCCGATTGCCTGGTGGCACAAGCGTGGGCACGCGTGCCCAGCACTGCGGGCATTGCAGGACATGGGGATGAGCCCGGGGGACGGCTGCAGCCGGGCTGTGAAGCCGCAGCTGGGCTGGAGCGCGTGTGCCCCGACCGCCGAGCTCCGGCTCGGCCGCTAATGGGAAAGGCATGTGGTCAGACCAGCGGTTCTGGCACGGGAAACACCCAGAGCATCGTCAGGACCTTCGGATTCCGGCGCTGCCTCACGCCGGCCGGCCCGGAGTGCCGCTGCCCGCCCTGTCGCCCGCCAGGCACACGGCGSAGTGCGAAGGGGAGAAGGAATGTCCAGCGAGAGCAATGTGGGCAGGGCAGCAGGAAGGGCCGGAGCCGCAGCAGGATTTGCCCCGGCTGGAGAGGGTGGGAGGGCACGCAGAGGCTCTGGCTGGCGGTGGCACACACAGCGTGGGGGCTTGCAGTCCCCTGGGCAGCGGCTTTCACCAGGCACCAACCTCCCGGCGTTGCTGGCATTCCCGGGCATCGCCTGCCTGCGGGAAGCTGGGAGTGGACAGGGTGGATACGGCACTGGGGCAGCGTGAGGGCTCCCAAAGCATTCGGCTCCTCAGGGATTTTCAGCCCACCCGCTCCGGTGCCGGCAGCCACTGGCACCCAGCAAAGCCACTGACGAGCAGCAGCGGAGGGGAAGGGCTGAGCGAATGCCKGCGAATCCGTCCCACTTGATCACTGTCTGGAGCTGCTGCTATTTATAAGGACTTGTGCTTTTCTAAAAATAACCCCCTCCTGTTCGCAGCGCCCCGGCCGGCTCTGCCGCCCTTTGTTCGCAGGTGCCCTGGCCAGAGCCAGCTCCCAGTGCTCCCAGTCTCACACTTAGCCCCAGAAGGGTCTCGAGGAGGCTGGGACAGAGGCAGGGCTTGAGGTGGGGGAGTCCCTGAGAGATCCCCCGCCACCCTGCAGCTGCCAGCGGGGCTGGTCCGGCAGCTTCTGCGAGGGCTGTGGAGCAGAGCCCGCGCCCAGCCCAGGCGCACACAGATAAGCAGAGTGAGCCCCGTGCACAGCCTGGAGCTGCTCCGCCTGCCAGGCCCCATGGCCACGCCGTCCAGGGAACGTGTTGGGGTGCTTTGTGCTGGCAAGGTGCCTGGTCGGGAGTCCCGACAGCCTCCGACACCGCAGGAGGATTCCCTGGGCTGGGCTTGGCTCCCATGTCCTGTGGCTGCTGGGAGATGTCCTGTGCTGGCCGGGAGAYAGGGCAGCCCCTGCTGGACCAGGACACGGGCTGAGGGGTGCTGCAACCCCCAAACCCCAAAGTCCTGTCAGGGATGCTCAGGCATCCCCCTTTCCCAAGGCCCCCCATATCCRACTGTCTTGCCAGCTGGGTCCCCATCCCTGGGTGCCCCCATCCCTGTCAGGATCACTGGACCCTGCACCCCGATGGGCACCTGCAGCCCTGACTCTTGCTGAAGTCACACAGTGACTGCCACGACCYTGGGGACTCTGTCCCTCTGCCCACCCGGCTGTCCCTGGCCGAGTCCCAACCCACTCTGCAGGCAGCAGCTGCTCTGTGGGAYCCTCCGACGGGGATGCTCTGCTCTCCCACAACCGAAGGATGCCCCGTTCTGGGACCAGCATCACCACAAAACTTCCTACATCCCTCCTCCTCCTCGGCATTTATCGCCCACAGTGTTTTYGTGGGTGACGATCAGATCCGGTCCATGAGGAAAGCAGGGCAGGGGGGCATTGTGCGTTGGCAGGATGACAACGGACAAAGAACCCCGGAGAGACCCCCTAGGACATCCCAGCTTCTGGGAAAGCAACTCCGGATCCCCGGGCAGTGCCCGCCCGCGTCCGCGCCCCTCTCATGGCTCCCGCGGTGCGGCGACGGGGGCGAGGGCAGCCGGAGCCGGTTGTGCTCGAGGAGCGGCGTGTCCCGGCCGCTCTCGCCCCGCTTCCCCCGGAGAAGGAGGCGCTTTGGCTGAGATTCCCCCAGCGGGAAGAGCCGCGGGCTCTCTCCGGGCCGGGCACGGAGGGGTCCGGTCGCCGTCCCGAGGCAGCTCCGTCCAACCTCCTCCCCGGTGCAGCCCCGGCAGCGCCCGCCTCTGCCGCAGCCCGGTCACCCAGCGGGATCGGGCTCTCCCGGATCCCGGCTCTCCCCGGTCCCGATCCCAGCCCCGGTCCCCACTCACTGCCCGGCCGCTCCCTCCAGCGCGTCCCCTCCACGCCGCCGCCGCCGTCGATGCGCAGGAAGAAGCGGGTGGCGGAGAAGAGCCGCCGCCAGCGCACGTCGCCCTCCAGGTGCCCGTAGCTGCGGGGGGGCCGCCGGCCGGTCCCGGTGGCACTGCCCGGCCCCGGCCCCGGTCCTGCCAGCACGGCGAGCGCCCCGGCGAGGCAGGCGGCGATGGCGGCGGGGCCCCCGCGCCTCATGGCGGCGGGCGATGGGCCATGGCCACGGCGGCGACCGGCGACCGGCCCCGACGGCGCGAGCGGCCAGGGATGGGCGGCCCGGGGCGGGGTGGTGGCGACGAGTGGGCGGGACGGGGGCTGGGGCGGTGCCTCCCATTCATAAATCGGCGCCCCGACGGCTGTCCCGGGTCACCGGCCGCGGTCAATCGCCTACGCCGGCGGGGCGTCCGGTTGGGGACCGCACACTCCGGTATCCGCCGCGATGGCGAGCAAGGGACGAGCGCCGCGGGCACAGAGAGAGGCGGGGGGCGCGGCGGTGCTGTGGCCCCGGACCCGAGGGTAGTGATGTCCGACTCGAGGCACGCCGAGCTCGGACCGGAGGGGCGCGGATCAGCCGGGTTYCGCCGTGTTCCCGGGCTCCTCCGTGTYCYCGGGCTCCTCCGTRTCSCCGKGCTCCGCCACCTCCCGSTSCCGCCGCCGTGTCCCGGGATCCGCRCTCGTCCCGACCCACCCCGTCGGGGCCGCCATGGCCGCCAGGGGGCGCGGGGCGCCGGGGCGCGTTGCACCATGGGAGCTGTAGTCCGGCGCGGCGGGACTCGCGCTCCCGGCGTGCCCCGCTGTGGCGCGGCGGCGCTGGCGCATGCGCGGCGGCGCGCGGCGCGCGTGGCCCGGGATGTCGCTGCTGAGGCTGCGGGCGGTGCTGAGGGGCCCGGGCGGGCTGAGGGGGCCCGGTGAGCTGGAACGGGGAGCGGCGGGACACCGAGGGACCGTGGAGGCACGGGAGGGACCGGGAGGGCACGGAGTGACCGGCGGGGACACGGCCCGGGTGTGGGGACGGGGCTGGAGCAGGGCTTCCTTCGGTTCTGAGTGTGGGGACGGAGCTGGGCCGGGACGTCCCACTATCTTGAGCATTCCCTGGACACACCTAAACGCTGGAAGGGTTTTTTTTTTGCGTCGTGAGCKCTCCCGGGATAGAGTCGAGGCTGTAGAAGTGCTGGGATATTATTACTTTCCAGAGGACTGACACAGGGGCTCTGGGTTCTGTCCCAGCTGTGGGATGGCACCCGCCTGCTCTGGGGTCTTGCCGTCCTGCCACCCCATTTATAGCGCTGGGTTTGTGGTGTGCCTGGGGTCATGTTCATTCTGAGCATCAGGATCCAAGCGGTGAGGGGTGTCCCTGTCCCTCCTGCCCTCTGACCCTTCTCTGCTGCTGCTGCTGAGCTGAGAAATACCCCTTGCTTGCTCTGTCCACACTGGCCGTGGATCAGGGAGTGCTCGAAGGAGTGAAGCTTTCTCTGACCCCCACATCTTCATGGTCTTCTGTGGCAGGGATCCCATGGAGAATCTTCAGGAGCTACACCTCTGCCAGCGCCAGGGAGAAGGCAAACAGAAATGGTGCCTGTGAGAGGACGGAGCTGCTGGAAGGTGAGCACTGGGAGAGCTGCAGTGGGCGGGCAGCAGTCAGACCAGCCTGAGCTGTTGCTTTTTTCCTGGCAGTGACATTGCTGGGTTCTTGGGATGCTGGGGTRGGCCCCACCTTGCARGTAGMTCTCAGAGAGACAGTGGTCAGTATYTATCTGGGAGCAGGARGGATGAAGCTCTTGTGTAGACCCTCTTTTCTGAACACGTTCTGCATGAGACAGAACCTTCTGTTGTGCCTTACCTCCCATCATCTCCCTCTATTTCCCACCAGTGCTCAAAGCTCGAGCGAAGCAGCTCCAAGGCAGTAACATCCCAGAGGTGATGGTCAACAAAGTGGACCTGGAGCCACTGGACAATGACAAGGACCAGGAGTCTGTGGCTCCTGGCCCCATGGAGAAGCAGACAGTTCCCAGGGCACAGGGTGATGGCCTGGCCCGACCCAGCAGCTGGGCTGACAAGTTGCAGAAGGAGATGCACATTCGACAGCTGAAGATGGAGCAGGGATTGCCYGGTGCTGCCCAAGCCAATCCAAAGGTGAAAGCAGATGCTGCCTGGAGCCAGAGCAAGCCCACAGTGATGGAAGTGAAGGAAGCAGTGGAACCAAAGAGGCCTCAGGGGGTGCCAAAGGACAGGAGCAACCAGAAGGTCCTGCAGCAGACCATCCARTCCAACCTGGAGTGCTTCGTGTTCCTGCAGCAGCCGGAGGAGGCCGAGCGGTACCTGCTGCTGTGCCACAGCTCTCCCGTGAAGCGGAAGGTGCTGGATGTTGGTGCCTACAACACTGTGATGCGCAGCTGGGCCAGGAAGGTACTGAGCTGTGGGTGCTCTGGGTGGGAGAGGGGCTGGTTCCTGAGGAGGAGCCTCCAGCTGGTTTTGTTTGCCACACACACCTTCAGTAAGTGCTCCTGCCAAAGGGGACAAAGCTGGCATGAAGCCACAGATCCCTGTGAGGTGGCTCTGAAGAAAGGAAGGGAATGGGGAAAGAGTGGTGTGGACATGACGAAATCTGAACAGGAGCAGAGGGTTGTGAAGCTGTGATTTTTGGTGCTGCTGGTGTCAGTATCCACAGCCTCCTTCCCTTCTCATCCCCAGGGCTGCTTGAATCGCATTGACCGGCTGTTTTCCATGCTGGAGTCCACCGGCCGCCGGCCCAACCTGGACTCCTACGCGGTGGCCCTGGAGTGCATGGGCCGGAACCAGTCACCTCCCAAAGCCATCTTGAGGTAATTCCTGCCTCAGGTGCTGCTGAGCCTTGGGGCAGTAGCACCACAGACTGTGCTGGGAGAACTGGGACACGCAGTGGGTCAGGGTCAGGAGGAGCTAGCCCTGTTGTGTGCACTCGTGGATGCTCTGACCCACTYYTAATGRSCAGATTTTGGGGTGTGCAAASCTCCCACAGCACCCTCCCTGCCAYCCCCAGCTGCTGGGCAGTTTGTGTGGGATTGTGCAGGGAGAGGAGATGATGTGGGAGGTGGGAACAGCTTAATTCCTGGGATGCTGCAGGGCTGGGCTGGGAGAGCCCCTCTCCAGTCAGGGACTACCTTGGACTCCACCCCAGGTATCTCACTCCTCCTGGCCCCTCAGTTGCTGCCTGTGGGAATGGCTCCTCTGTTTTTATGGCACTTCTGTGGAGTTTGCCCTTTTTGGCGGGCTCAGGCAGATAGCTGGTTGCTGCAGGGCTCTCCAGAGGAGCACAGGAGATTCAGGGGTGGATTTCATGGAACTTAACAGGCAGAAAAGTGTCAGTGCCAAATTGAGGAACTGAAAGAGCCCTGTGAGATCCCACAGGCTGAGTCTGGGGGCAGTGCCTGGGGCTGGAGGCACAGCCAGCTCCTCTCCAGAGGATGGACAAAGCTTYTGATGCGCTAGTGCTGAACAGACACCTCAGGGATGTATCACTGGCCTCTGTGTCCTTTGGCTGGATAAATGTTTTTGATGCCTTCAGGGGAATTCAAGCTGACCAGAGGGGCTGGCAGGGACTGTCCTGGACAGTGTGGGAGCTGTGTCAGTGGGGCTGCTTGTGGGCAGCTGGGTCCTGCAGTGGATGGAGCTTGGCTTCCTCGCTCAGGCAGCTCTGCAGCAGTGCAGGCTGAGGGATGGACACCTGATCCCTGTAACCTGAAACGGGTGACCTTGTGGGACAGGCTGTGCTGAGGCAGCTCCTGCTCCAGCAGCTGTACAACATGCTCAGACCCTTGGGGAAGATCAAACCTGTCCCCTGTGCCCCTCCTCAGGTACCTGCAGCAGCTGAACAGCGAYGGATTCCATGTGGATGAGCTCTTCCAAAAGTGCCTGTTTGAGAAAGATGAGAAGGAGATGGTGCTGTGGGCCATCAGGACTGTCCAGCCCAACTACCAGCTGCCTCCTCCACCCAGCCCCCAGATCTGCAAGTCTTCTCTGCTCCAGGACTACTATGCCAGAGTAAGCCATAGRGCTCAGGGAGATGTTTGAGCTGGCTAGGTGCTGTTCACAGGTGTCCTCAGGTCTACCCCAGGGAAGGGCTAAAAAGGAAGAACCTTTTAACCTGATCTCTGCTCAATAACCASACAAACTGTCAAATTRATGACTACCTTACAGAGGAACAGCRAAGCCTAGGGCTTGCAGRGRYATGGAGRTGGCTTCCATGCACTGGAGGGGRTGCTTGGGGRGGTTCTTKGCCATARCACAGGAGCAGAGCAGCCTCTKGGGTTTGCMTGCCAGAGACCTCTGGACTCAGAAGTCCCAGCAACGTGTTTTCAGCCCAGACTTGTACCACAAACCCCATGCAGGAAAGCTGGGRGAATGAAAACAGTTTCTCTTCCTCCCACTTTTGGCACTGACTGCCTCTCCCCCGTTGCAGGAGACGATGGTGTCATATCCCAAGCTGGATTTCTCCATGAAGGAGTTGCAGGAGTGCTTCCAGCAGCAGCTGGAGATGGAGCTGAAGAACACCATAACCATTGAATCAGTGGAGACAGCCAAGCCCCTGACCCCACAGGCTGTCAAAGCGGTAAAGCTCAGGGGTTCTGGGGGCAGGGGGCCATTGCAGCCCTTGGGAGAGAGTTGGGGATCTGTGAGCTAAAGAGGGGGAAGCTCATGCTGACCAGCTCTCCTCCTTCCTCTCCACACAGCGTGAGCTGCTGGGCACCCTCCGCTCCCAGTGGCACGACGCCATCCTGCAGGCCCTGCAGAATTCCAAGCGCAGCATGGCCAAGCCCAGGAGGCTATCGAAGCACAGCATGCTCTACCCTTACCTGTGCCTGCTGCCCGATGAGGAGTACGTGGACATCATGCTGCAGGTAGGAACCTGCCAGACTATCAGTCATGGAGCTGTCACAAAGCACTAGTGTCCCACTTGAGCCTGCAGAATTGGAACTTCTCGGGAGTTTTACCATTAGGTGCAGGCTGTCTGCTCCCTGAGCAGTCAGAGAAGTCCATGCTCTGTCCTGGCTGTCTCCTTCCTCACCATCTGCTCAGCATCATGGAAATCAGCATTTTCCTGTGCTCCCTGCACAGCAGCTTTAACACCTGCTTTGTCTCTCTGCTGTCTCTGTTTCTCCTAGCTAAGACCCTCTTTGCCTTGCCCTTTCMCAGGTCCTCAATGATCTGTCTCCACAAGGTGAGTCCCTGGCTGTCCTGGCCAGGGAGCTGGGCTCCAAGGTCTATGACAGATACATCATCCAGAGGAAGCTGCGTAGCTGCCAGCTGGAGAAGGTGCAGGAGGTCTACAAGAATTATGTCCAGCTGCTGGCAAAGGACAGCCAGGTAGGAGCCCTTGGAGCCAGATGTCCCATCCAGGAGAGCTCAGKGCTTGAACAGGGTGTGCTTTGCAGGGCAGGAGGGGAGAAGGGAGGCCAAGGCCATTGCCCTGGGCACCTCAAGGATCAGGTGAGCAGGTTGTTCCCAGAGCTRAGTGCACATGGGGGAAGGCAGGTCTGCAATCTGGGCAGGATGCTGTGGAGCCAGGGTGTCAGCACTGGGATGTGGTGAAAGGGAAGCTTTTGCAGTGCCACTGCCCCCGTTCTCACTGTTGGGCTCTCCTCAGCCCTCCCCAAACACCCCTATCTGGGGGGACCTTGCAGGTCACAGAAATAGGAGAGTCCTCAGAGGCACATCCCAGGTGGATAGATCCCATCTGGAAAAAAAAACGCTGGGAGCAGCCCCTCCAGCTGATCCCATTTTCTCCTTCCACCTCCCAGYCTGAACAGTACTTACCACGGGAATACTGGGAGAAGCTGGTGGCTGAAGCAGGCTTTGGGCCCTCCCTTCACCTGAAGAACTGCAGCTGGCCCTGTGCACTCCTCATGCACCTGGGCATGCACATGCTGGAGCTSCTGGTGAAGGCTGTCAAAGTGCCCAGGAACATCCTCAATCGTCGCCTGCAGTCCAAGCCTATCCCTGTCCTCTACCACGTCTACTCCTTCTACAGCAGCTGGCAGGTGAGCCTAATCCTGGGTCTCTGGGGCTGTGCAGGGTGCCCCTTCCTCAAAATCAGACCCTTGCAGGACCCTTTTCTGTCCTTGCTGCCATTCCTGTTCAGGGATGCTTCAAGGAGCCCCTGATTCTGTGTGGATGCTCTCCTTACTCGCTATTATGACTGAGCACAGGTTCTTCCAGACTCCAGCCCTAATACTCTACTGCTGACCTTGTCCTCTCTGATTCTCCTCTCCAGGTTGGGCGGATAAAGCCCCATCCCATCTTCTCCCGGCTTGTGTCAGAGGCTGCAGAGACCACACTGACCTTCAACTCCTCTGCCATGCCCATGCTGTGCCCCCCACTGCCCTGGACCTCCCCCCATTTTGGTGCCTTTGTCCTCAACGACACCAAGCTGATGCGTTTCATGGACGACATCATCCACCACCAGCTGCTCCTGGAGCAGTGTCCCCTGGTGAACCTCCACCCYGTGCTCGATGCCCTCAACCAGCTGGGCAACTGTGCCTGGAAGATCAACCAACCAGTGCTGGATATCATCATCTCCATCTTCAACGACAAAGGTGATGAGAAGCTGGACATCCCACCACCCCTCTCTGAGGCTCCCAAGCCTCCCACTGCTCCYGGCCATTTCTCGACCTGGAGCGAATCCCTCAAGCACGAGCTGTTCCTGTGCAAGAAAAAGACTGCAGAGATGCACAGCCTGCGCATGGACGCGCTCTACAAGCTTTCCATCGCCAACTACGTCAGGGACAAGGTGTTCTGGTTCCCTCACAACATGGATTTTCGTGGCAGGACTTACCCGTGCCCGCCCTATTTCAACCACCTGGGCAATGATGTCACCCGGGCCATCCTGCTGTTTGCAGAGGGGAGGCCACTGGGGCCCAGGGGACTCGACTGGCTGAAGATCCACCTCATCAACCTGACGGGGCTGAAGAAGAAGAACACCTTGCAGGAGAGGTTGGAGTATGCCAATGAAATCATGGAGGACATCCTGGACTCAGCTGACAACCCGCTCACGGTACGTGGGAGCTTCTAGGAAGTGAAATAAAATGGAAATCGGATCAATTTAGAAACAAAAAAYGYTTTGAAAAATATGCTTTGAGAGGCAAAAAGGGAGCAAAGCAATGCAGAGATTCCTAAATAAAACATTTCTGTCTGAAAATATGGTGAAATATTAGGGAAGTGGAGATATGGCTCCAGCATATCCCARGTGCTATGGGGTTCCTGCCTGTGATTTGAGGGGCACAGCAGCACTACCTGCTCTTAGCAGCCTGTGCTTTCTTGTTCCCAGGGCAGGAAGTGGTGGATGAACACTGATGAGCCCTGGCAAGCCTTGGCATGCTGCATGGAAATCGCCAAAGCCTCGAGGTCCCCAGATCCAGCAGCCTACATCTCTCACTTCCCRGTTCACCAGGTAGGAACCCAGCAGATCCTCACAGCCCGTGTGAGCCTCAGTGAGGCAGGAAATGAGCTTCCAGGTCTGAGTGTGCCACGTGGCTGGGATTTTTAGGAATGGGAATGCAGTGTTGGGCATCTTGGCATGAGAACTCTGGTGATTTGCTGCTGCCTGCAGCCATCCATGAGCCAGTACAGCTGAGTGCTGCTTCGCTTCCCTTGGCTCAAGTAGAATCCAGCTGGGAGATTGCTGGCAGCTGCTGCAGGGTGAGAGCCAGGCCAGTCTCACCTTGTACAGCCACAGGATCAGGACTGGAAGTCAGCTCCAGATATGCCACTGGCTATCTGGAGTGCTCAGAGCTGTGCTTTGGGGGACTTTGCTCCACTCCTCCTCCAAGGCTGAACCCAAGCAGGTCTGCAGGAGCCAATATAGGAGGTCTGGAACTCAGAGAAAGGACATGGGGACAGAGCTGGTTGTCCTCCACGTTCAGTTCCTGTCACTGGGTGCCCTGTGCCTGCTCAGGTGCTGCTCAGCTCCTGTCCTTCCTGGCTGATTGTGCCCAGATGAGGTGTGGCTGCTCCTCTGTTTTATGAGGAGCTCCAGTGATCGTGACTGAGTGGGGTGGGCAGCAGTTGTTCTGCCAGTTGTGATGGTCTGCAATATGCATGAGACAGTCAGGACTGATATTTTGATGACAACAAAAGATCAAGAGAGCAGCTGGGGGTGTGTGGAGAGTGCAGCTGATGAAATACCAGCAAGGACTTCTTCTGGAGGGTACAGGAGTCTCGTTGTGCCTGAGTCATCAGCGTTCAATTAACGGAGCCGTCAGGTTCTGGCRCTGCATTCCACACTGCAGGGAGTGGGGAGAAGGTGCAGGAGGAAAGGGGCCCTGCTTGAGGAGCCTGACAGTCCTGGGGTGTCTGTGGTTCCCTGTGACCAGAGAGAGCCCAAGCACAGGGGGCAGGAACAGCAGCACATCTGTGAGAAGCATCACTGCCAGTGCAGTCTGGGGAGCACCAGGATCTTCTGCACCACCAGTCAGGTCCTGCCTGTGTCACCCAAGCTGCTCTCRGTCCCAGCAGGGCTGCATGGGCAGCTGCTGTGGCAGACACTCACCGTGCCTCTGATGCAGCTTTGGGAAATTTGGGTGGGAGCTGSATTCTGTCAGAGGGATGTTTTCATCTGCTGGCAGTGCAGCTGGCTGGAGCTACAGAGCCAGCTGGGGCTTCCTCAGGGATCTTTGGCTTGGCCTGCCTTTTCCTGCCTCTGRTCCCACTGCTGAGGTTGTTTTGACTGCTGGCTCTTGGGGCTGCTTTTAGCATCCTAGACGTTTTCAGTGTTTTCCCAGTTTTCTTGTTTTCAGCRTTTCCACAGAGCTCTGATGTCTTTGGAAACCCACAGAGGTGGTGATGTGAGGTTTCTGCTTTTAAACCTCACAGGTCACAGTAATTAGGGGTGGACTCAGTAGGAAGAAAATGRTCACTGCTGGGAGATGGTCACTGCTCAGAAGAGAGAGAGGAAAATAATGAGGGTACCTGTGCATGGGGAGGGGGTGGATGAGCAGGGCTCTGTCCACACCAACTCCTGGTTTCTCTCCTGTTCTTCCTGCAGGATGGCTCCTGCAATGGGCTGCAGCACTATGCAGCGCTTGGCCGGGACCTCAGCGGTGCTGTCTCCGTCAACCTGGTGCCCTGTGGGCTCCCTCAGGATGTCTACAGTGCAGTGGCCCAGCAGGTGAGGCACAGCAGGGACATGGGGAGACCTTCTGGACCTGCCTCTTCCTCTTGGTGTGCACAGGTTGCCTCCCACTCCCAAGGGGAAAGACGAGAGGGATGGGGAGACATGAGCTGGTCACTCTCCATCCCCAGTGGGATCTGACTGAAGAGCTGTTTTCACAGAGATGGCTGTGAGAAATCCCCTGGGATTTCTGCTGTCCTCACTTCTGAATGAATCCTGGGAGAACTAAGCCAGAGAGGTGAAGAGAGCAGTGTGTGTTCCTCATCCCTTGGTCACCGCTGGCTGGCCCATGGGTTATAAGATTTTTCTCCCTTGAGCTGAGTAGGAAGGAGGGGGCAGAGGTTTATCCCTTGGTACTGCTACAGAATCTTTGGTTTCTTTGTCAAGACATGATTTGCCACTGGGAGAGTCCCGAGAGGCTCATTGAGCTGGCATTGGACCCTGCATCTCCCAGGGATGAGGTTTTGAAACACTCTGCAGGTTTTCTCCAGGCAGCACCACACCAGAGAGCATGAAGAGCTCATGGGGGTGCAGAGGTTGCTCAGTTATTGCTGTGGGGGCAGAGACGGGAGAACCCAAGTTCTGAGCCACAGTCAAGCCATGTCCTTGTCCCAAAGATCAGTGCTGAGGCAGCAGGGAAGGCTCTGCAGGCAGTTATTTGTGCTGGATCCYTTCAGCAGATGCCTTTTATCCACGATGATGGAATTGGGCTGCAGGGATTCTGATGGGAGCTGGGGCCAGGCAGCACATGGCTGGGAGGGTCCCACAGGCCACCAGCCATGGAGGGGGTTGGTCCAGCGTGGCTCGTGCTGGCACTGACTCGGGGCCACTCTCCTGAAGGTGGAGGAGTTTCGGAAGAAGGATGCTGAGAGGGGGGTGAAGATTGCCCAAGTGCTGCAGGGCCTCATCAGCCGCAAGGTGGTGAAGCAGACGGTGATGACGGTGGTGTACGGGGTCACGCGCTACGGCGGCCGCCTGCAGATCGAGAAACGCCTCAAGGAGATCGATGAGTTCCCTGAGGTAGTGTTCCTGTGTGTCCCTGCCTCTCTGGATCCTGTCACTTTCCCTTTTTCTGACCTATGGCTCTGCCTCTGCTCTGTGCCAGGAGTATTTGTGGGAAGCATCTCACTACCTGGTGAAGCAGGTGTTCAACGGCATCAAGGAGATGTTCTCAGCAACTCGAGACATCCAGGTAAGGAGCCTGTTGGCTCTTATCTCCACTTTTTCATCATCCCTGGTCCACTCATGCATAGACATGGGGATCCCTATGGGGAGAGATGGTTCTCCTAGCCCAGAGAGGATCCTCCTGTCCAGCCCAGAGTGTGGGATTGTGCCAAACTCCCCAGTAAGCACTGGATTTGTCCCAGTGTGTGGCAGGAGTCAAAGTGGCCTGTGCTGGGAGAGAGTGGGCAGTTCCACACTAACTCCAGCTGCTTCATCCTCTCTTCTGCAGAGCTGGCTGACAGAGAGCGCCAAGCTCATYGCCCAGTCAGGCCGGACGGTGGAGTGGGTCACACCACTGGGACTCCCCATCATACAGCCCTACTATCGCTCCAGGCCCACTGTGGTGAGTGTGCAGTGCAAGGTGTCATGGCACACCTTCCCTGTGCCATGGTGGGAGCAGGGAAAAGACAGCCRGGCTAGAGCCCAGCAGGTTAGCATCACCGGTGGTGAGCCTGCAGAGCAGGTAGGATCCCTGTRTGCAGGCACATCCTCCAGCCTCATCACTCCCTGCAGAGCCTGGAGTGTGTGGGTGGGCTGGTGAGGAAGCTCTGCGGCTCCGTCCCACTCAGGCAGCTGGGGCACGGGCCGTTCCCCGCTCTCAGAGCCTCCTCAGGGCTCGTGTGACTCAGCCTCGCTGCTGTCGCCTCCCACGTGCTGCTGTGCTGACTCACGGCCCCCCAGCCCGGCTCCAGCAGCCCTTCTCGGGCCAGCTCACCCTGCGAGGGCGAAGGGCTTCAGATGCCTGCCAGCACCTTCAGGAGGGGAGCTGGGCAAGGTGTCACTGGGCAGTGGCAGCTGCTGTAGTGCTGGGACACCTTGCAAAGGCACAGGCCCCTTTTCAGAAGAGTGACAGCGTGACAACTGGTCCCTTCTGTCTCCCCACAGCTGAACTGTGGCATGCAGAACTTGAGTGTGAAAAGCTACAACAGCAATCAGTAAGTACGAAACCATGGCTTGCACCATCCCCCTGCTGACCCCAACTCTGGGGGTCGAGGGCTTCCCATCAGGGAAGCTGTCAAAGAGCTCCCATTATCCTCCTGAGCTGCAGAAAGCTTGGGCCCCACCAGGACAACCTCCTCGCCCCCAGGCTGGGGTAGCACTTTTTGGCCCTGAAGTGCCCCAGCTTCTCCCCTTCTTTGTCCCCCAGGAAACCTGACACTGTGAAGCAGAAGAAYGCCTTCCCCCCCAACTTCATCCACTCCCTGGACTCCACACACATGATGCTCACAGCTTTGCACTGCCTCAGGTAGGGAGTGGGCAGCTGGGCTCTCACCTGGCTCTTCCCTGGCTCGGGACTCTCCTGAGATTGTTGCTTGGGCAAGGCACCACATGGGACTGAGGATTCCCTGTAGGGTGGGCATTTGGGGTTCCTGGCAGGGAAGGAATAGGAAGCAGAAAGGGAGATCCTGGGACTGGCCACCTCTTTCTGAAGACCCACAGGGTGTCCCTCTCCTTGTGGGGTCCCTGCTGCTGTCCCAGCCCCGGGTTCTGTGTAGGGTGGGCCATTGCACCGAGGGGTCTCAGCACTGCTTCATGGCACCTTTGCCTCCTCCCAGGAAGGGCCTGACCTTCGTCTCTGTCCACGATTGCTACTGGACTCACGCGCTCACTGTGGATGTTATGAACCAGGTAAAAGTGTCCTCTTGGCTCCCTTGTGAGCAAGATCTTGCTGATCTGTGCTCTGGGCCCATGCCAGGCCTCGCCTCCCCTGGGCTTTGCTCCATAGGCTGATGGATTCACCCGGCTGAGGTGAGCCTGGGATGTTTGCTGGCGGTCGCAGCTGATTTCCTGGTRCTCCATCTCCTCCCACTCTGCAGGGAGCATGTGGGGGAGAATCTCTGTGGGAATGGGCACTGGACCCAGCCCTGGCAGAGTCAATGCCCCTGTCTGGCCCTGGGCCCTTGCTAAKGAGGGTCAGCCTTTGCTTCACACCTCCCCAGGCTGATTCCCTTCACCCGTGTCTGGCAGCCCCCATTTCCCACTCCTGCTGCTTCCCCTTCCCCTCACCTCTGACCTGTCATTGAGGGGAAGAAGGAAACACCTGCTAATCTGTACCTCCCTGGGTCAGATCTGTCGGCAGCAGTTCGTGGCTCTGCACAGCGAGAAGATTCTGCAGGATCTGTCCGAGTTCATGCTGGAGAAGTACTGCAGGTATTTCTGACCTGTTGGTTTTCTCTGGTCCTTCCTGCCTGTGCCAAATCTCTCTCCCAGAGGTTGTGTCCGGGTGCTCACAGGTTGTGTCACCTGCCTGGGGATTGCTCTGGGGGGAATCTGCCCTTCCTAATTGCCTGACACCCAAATCACCTTTGATAGCTGTGTGAAAACCAAGGGCTCTACACCTTTTTGCTGCAGAACTGAGGGAGGGTTTGGCCTGCCCTGGGCTGCTGGGGCTGGGCTCCTGCTCCCATTATGGGGTGCATGGTCTGTTTTGGAAGAGCTGAATCCTGTTGTCAGGGACTGCCCTGAGGAGCAGCAGAGGATGTGCCTCGTTCCAAAGAACCCATGTTTGTTATTTGCTTCCTTCTAGTTCATCMAGGTCCAGCACAGAACCCATAGCCCGTTGGCAGAAGAGACTGATGGAGCAGCTGTCAAATGTCCCCAAGACAGGTAGGAGCATGGGACAGGAACTGCAGAGCTCAGGCATGTTTTGGAGACGAGGGGAATGAGATGGAGTGGCCCTCAAAACCACCAAAAGGCAAAAAGCCAGAGCTGTCTCTTGGGATCAGGCTTCCCCTCCTGTGCTGGACTGCAGAGCCATGGGGCAGAGCAGTCCAGCACAGACACATTTCCCTGTAGCATCCCTGTGAGTGGTTCCTGCCATCTTCTCTGAGTCCCTGGGATTTCCCCCAGGCTGACCCAGCTCTCTCCATCCTGCTCTTGTTCCGCTCCCATCTGTTTCCAACCCTGAGCATTTGCTCAGAGATGGGAGTGAGGGACTCAGCAKGGTAATTGCCAGGATCTAGATGATATACATGCAATGGGATTAAGGCAATTAGTTTAACTCCTTCTAATCCCTCAGCCCTGTGTCTGCCAGGCCATCTGGCTCTGCCTGACCTCTGTGTGGAGTGGCCCAGCATTCCATGGGCAGCACAGCCCAGGGGCAGGGATCATTCGTGCCCTGAGGCCACATCTCTCCCCCTTGTCCATCCACACTCTGCTCTCTGACCTCTCCTTCCCTCCCCTCAGGTGAATTCAACCTGAAGCAAGTGATGGATTCCACYTATTTCTTCAGCTGAGCCCTGGCAGCCCACAGGGCCCTGGGATACCTCTGGACCTCCAGCCACGGTGGGCACTGGCCAGTGATGCTCTTCTGTGCCACATCTCACRGGGAATGAGGTGCAGCCTCCAGCCCAGCAAGAGCCCTGCCCCACTCTGAGCTGCTGGGGCAAACTGGGACTGCTGGAGCAGCCGTTGGAGGATGGAGCCTGCACTGTTTGCTGTCACTGCCCSTGTCCCWGCMCATGGAGAGGGCACCARGCTCTGGGCTGGGGACAAAGGGGTGGCGTTAGCCAGGGTGGTTCCTCCCAGCCCTCACCCCAGTGCTGTGAGCACCATCCTTTGCCGCACTGTTGCATGTCCTGGGGTGCTGTCCCTGTCCTTTCCTCACATTGTAGGGGCAGCAGGAGCCCCAGCCCTGCCCTCAGCCTCGGGGTGGGTGCTGCTGTGTCCCCTGCTCCAGCTCTGAGCGCTGTCCCCACTCTCCACAGCACAGCCTCAGCTCTGAGCGCTGTCCCCACTCTCCACAGCACAGCCTCTGCTGCTCTTGACTTTTATTTCCAGGGATGGATTCTGTTGCTGCTCCCTGGGGCTCAGGCAGGGAAAACCACTAACTCAGGGGGGTGGATATGTACAGTATTGTAAATAAAATATTTTTGGAAATATGAGATGGGACCTGTGTCCTCCTCAAAGTCTTTGTGGAGTGCCTGGGCTCTTGCCTCACCTTGCCAGGGCCACAGGGACATGGGATTGCTGCCTCCCAGCCTGGCCCTGTTCTGCTGACAGCTTGGGCATCGATTGCTCACAGGGGTGTCACATTCCGAAAATGCTTTTGTAGCAGAAACGTGGAATTGTGCCAGCGCAGCCACAGCAGGAATTGGACTCTCACAGGGGCCAACTGCAGCTTTSCAGCCAGGAGCCTCCCATTCTCCCTGCACTGTGGCTTCCCAGCCCTCTTTTCCACCGGGCTGGCGTTGGAGGTGGATGGCACATTGCAACTGGAGCTGTGTTTGGCCCAGTTCTCAGCTGTGCCCTATAACCACAGGCTCAGCYTGCACCCAGCTTCTTCCTGCCTGCTGCTGGAGCGAGGGGAAAGCTGCTGGCAGAGCCTTTTCACCTTGTGGCTTTTCTGGCAGGGGAGGCAGCTCTTCAGAGGACAAAGCTGCGTCCCGCAGCCCGAGCTGGGGCTGTGCCCGGTGTTCCGGCTCCCGGGGCCGGGCACGAAGAGGGGGGAGGAACGATGGCAAAGAAGCAGAACCGGAGTCGTGTGCGTAGCTCTGTCAGCTGCTGACGTTTATTGCACAGGATGGGCTGGATGGGGAGGTGGACGCTTGGACTGGGGCCCTGTCCGTGCGGCTGCTCGGCCGCGGGGTGCCGGGGCTGGCACGGGCCCCGCGCTCGCGGTACATTCAACGTGGAAGGCTCCAGAGAGCGAGGCAGCGAGGCACACGTGCACACACACATACACACACATACACACGCATACACACACATACACACATCTGCACACGCACCCGCACACGCACGCACACGCGACACACACGCAGGCACCTGGTACGCTCGGGCTCCAGCGCCTGCCTCCGTCCTAGCGCTGCCTACAGGGACACCCCCAGCCCCGGAGCGGGGGACGGTGTGTTGGTGGGTGCTCACAAGCCTCGGGGCGACCATCCCTCGGACCCCTCCCAACTTACCTCCAGTCCAGGACCGTCACCCCTCGCCTTGGGTCTGTGGGAGGGGCGCAGGGACACGCGCGGCGCCGGGGCTGCGCCGACAGCCCCGGGGAGGTGTCCTGCGGGTCACACACAGGGATGTGTTCAGGTCATTAGATATCATACACAGAGTTGGTCATGGCGAGGATGCAGCTGTGGCTTCTATGGGCAGCCGGGGAGGCCAGGGGGCAGCGGGGCTTCGCCGCGGGGAGCGGGCGACAGGGTCAGACTTTGGTCGGAGAGACGACACAGCCGGGGGGCTCAGCCCGGTCACCCCGCGGTGGGGAGGGGGCACAGCGGCCCCAGGCCGACCCTCGGCCGTTGCCCCGCTCTGCAGCGGGCGGCAGGAGGGACCGGGGAGCGGGGCTGGCGCCGTGGCGGGGGKCGGCAGTGGCCCTGTCCCGGGGTGGACACGAGGTGACACGGGACTCCCTCCCTGCCGCCGCCCCTCTCTGGCGCGCGTGTCCCCGTGCCCGGCGCGGAGGTCACAAGTTGGAAGACAGCCTGGACTTGGCCGGGTCCGTGTCGGGCGTGCTGGACGCCGAATCCTTGCGGGCCGCCGCCGAGTCCTGCGGCAGGGCGGGCGGCGGGGTCAGCCCCGAGCCCGTGGGCGCCGGGTGGGCCGGAGCCCCCCGTGTGGGCGCCTGGCCCCGCAGCCCGGCCGGGGGACCGGGGCCCGGCGAGGCGGCGGCCGGACCCCCGCCGATGGAGGTGCTGGACTCTCGGGCAGAGGCCGGGGGGCTCTGGGTGCTGCCGGCCGCCAGCCCGTGGGGCAGCGAGGGCTGCGAGGCTGAGAGGGGCCGCGAATCCTGGCTGAGGCTGCTGGTGTGCAGCGCCTGTGTGCTCTTGTGGGCGGCCAGGCGCTGGGGCGAGCTGGGCGCTGGCTGCTGGCTGAGGGACAGCTGCGAGCCCAGCGGCCCTGGGGCGCCTCCGTAGGCGAACGTCCGGCTGGCCAGCGGGCTTTGGGATGGCGGGCTGGCCGCGGCCGCGGCGAAGGCGCTGGTGGAGGCGGGCAGGGCCGTGGGCTGAGCCGGGTCCTGCGAGGGCGAGGGGTTGGCGTGGGGCACGGGGGGCTGCGGCTGCGGCGGGGGGCTCTGCTGCAGCAGCACGGGGGACACGGCGAARGGGCTGGGCACGGCCTGGGCGTACTGCAAGCGGCGCATCATGCGGGGCGAGCCCAGCGCCATGGAGCCCACCAGCGGGCTGGCCATCTGCGGGCAGAAGCTCATGGCGACGGCTTGCTGGAGGGTGGCGATGGCAGAGGTGACCTGCGGCTGCACGGGGCTGTACATGGCCGTGTGCTGCTGCAGCTCCGCCTGCTGCACCATCTCCCGGTCGTACTTGACGATCTCCTGGATGATCTCGTTCTCCTGGTTGTTGAAGACACCTGAGTTGAGGTCGTGCTGCACTTTGTGGAGCAGGATCGAGTTCTTCTTCCCTGTAGGGAGAGGAAGCACCGTGAGACCCTGCACTGGGGCTGTGCTGGGCTGCCATGCCAACCACGGCTGTCCCCTCTGCCAAGACACCCCCTGTGCCCCTCCAGACCCTTCCCCATGTCCTACCGATGCGGTCGAGGCGGTCGATGGCCACAGTCTCAAAGGCCCGTCTCATCATGGGGTACTCCTCCAGCACCTCGTTGAAGTTGTCCACCGAGAGCGAGTAGAGGCGGCAGTAGGTGTCCGCACGGACGCTGGCCGTGCGCCGGCCACGGGTCAGCAGGCAGATCTCTGGGGGAAAAACACCATGGCCAAGGTCAGAACACCACCAGTGAGGACAAAACAGGGCAGGTGAGAAGCACCACACAGTGGATGCCCTGGGACAGCTCAGGAGTCCCAGTGCCTCTCACTGAGACCCCGAGAGAGGAGCCAGGCCCAGTCGTGCCCATGCTCACCCCCAAAGTAGGAGCCATCGGAGAGTTTCATCTCCTTGTTGCCCTTGGTGAGGATGCTGACCACGCCGTGCTGGATGAAGTACATCTTCTTGCCGATGGTGCCCTCRCGGATGATGTAGTCCCCGGGCTGGAACACCTCRAACTTCAGCTTGGTCAGCATGGCCGTGACRAAGTTGGGGTCGGCGTTGGCGAACAGCGGCATCGAGGCCACCAGCTTGCGGCAGTTGAAGTTCACGATTTCCTGTGGGGAAGCGGGTGAGCCCAGGAAGCTGGGACACACTGCCCCAGCAACACGTTCCCCACCCCAGGCAGACTCATGGGGATGCCCTGGCATGCAGATTGTTCCACAYTGAGGTGTTTGACCCCAAGCACAGACATGGCAGGAGCTGGTGGAACCCACAGCGCTCCCCACCCCATGGCAGGGAAGGGGGGGATCCCTTCCCTCAGCAAAGGGGGGACAATCCCCACCCTCACAGCATCGTCCTCCTCCCAGTTCTCCCACCCTCACCTCACGCAGGGGCTCGTTGAGCTCCCCCAGGATGCTGTCCTCGTCAAACATCTTGCCCTGGTAGCGATGCTCGTAGTAATCGTGGATCTTCTGGCGGAAATCAGCGGGCAGCTTGTGGAAGGACATGTACTGCTCCACCTGCTTGTACTGTGGGGAGAGAGGCGGTGTCAGCTGGGATCTGCCACCCACATCCCCACTGCACAGTCCCACTGTTGCCTTGATGGGCAGTTTTTAATAAGGACACAGACACAGTTAAGGGGATAAAAGGGTTTTACTGTGGTGTTTGGGATCCCAGGTGCACAACTTGATGGCAGAATGCACACCCGTGTATAGCACAGATAGTTTTATAGATTTCAGGAATTAGCATATCTATCTAGGATTCCTCAATAAGAAACTTCACAAATGCAGTAATGTCCCCCTATTCTAATGAATTCCAGCCCTGGATGAGGTGAGAACCCAGTTTACACAAGATGTTCTGGAGAGAAGGCTTCACCCAAGGCTGGAGCCTCGAGTTTAAGATAGCACAGGGCATGCTGAGCCCTTCCTGAGGATGTTTGATCTCTCTGCCCAGCAGAACTCCTAAGCTAAGCTGGGATATCAGACTACAGGAATTACAAGCAAGCAGGGCCTAGAGGTACAAGAGATACACAAAGGGTACAGAAAATGTATAAAACTATATAAAAAGGTGCATAAAAAGAAAGGCAAAAATCACCAGGCATCACCACTCCTGACCAGCTCCAGGAGGGGACGAATCTGTGTGCCCCACCCAGCCCAGCCCAGCTTTACCTTCTCCTGGTACTGGCGCCGGGAGGAGTCCAGCGACTGGATGAGGGCGGTGGCGTGGCCGATGAACATGGCATAGCACGTGGCSCCCACGATCATRCTCAGCATGGTCAGCCAGATGTCCGTCATGCTCTCGGGTGCCTGCTTGCCGTAGCCGATGCACAGCATGTGGCTCATGGATTTGAAGAGGGCAAAGGAGTAGAGCTCGCTCCAGGAGTCATTCTGCGGTGACAGGGACAGCGGCTCAGCCGTGCACATGTGAGTGTGAGTGTGAGTGTGAGTGTGAGTGTGAGTGTGAGTGTGAGTGTGAGTGTGAGCAGCCCTCGAGGGCCCACCACCTTGGCCA